CTTGTTGCTGAGCTTGTCCACTTTGCTGCTCACTCTCGTCTCGACTACGCCGCTAGTCTAGTTGCTGAGTCTGCGTCTGGCTGTCCTCCGTCCGTCGGGGGTGAGTGTGCTCTTAGCACGGACGTCCTTGAGGACAGACAGGAGGAGTTTGAGTGCTTTGCCGCTGCTTTTCCTCATCTCGTGTCCATGCTGATTGCCCCTGAGGGAGACCCGGATGACAAGACATCCCGACCCCGCGCTCTTACGCAGAGGCGATAGAGGGTCCCTACTCCTCTCAGTGGCAGTCGGCCATGGACGCAGAGATGGCTTCCTGGAAGTCCACAGGCACCTACGTCGACGAGGTTCCCCCGCCTGGGGCGAACATCGTCAGTGGCATGTGGATTTTCAGGGTGAAGCGGCCGCCGGGTTCTCCGCCTGTCTTCAAGGCACGTTACGTTGCACGAGGCTTCAGTCAGCGTGAGGGAGTTGACTTCTTCCAGACCTTCTCTCCCACCCCGAAGATGACCACTCTTCGGGTGCTGCTGCACATAGCCGCTCAGCGTGACTACGAGCTTCACTCTCTTGACTTCAGCACAGCTTTCTTGCAGGGCAGCCTGCACGAGGAGATCTGGCTGCGCCGCCCACCTGGCTTCACTGGGTCGTTTCCTCCTGGTACCCAGTGGAGCCTCCGGCGGTCAGTCTACGGTCTCCGCCAGGCACCCCGTGAGTGGCACGACACACTGAGGACGACTCTTGCTGCTCTTGGGTTTGCTCCTTCTACTGCTGACCCGTCGTTATTTCTACGCACCGACACTTTGTTGCCGCCGTTCTACATCCTCGTGTATGTCGACGACTTGGTTGTTGCTACTGCTGACACTGAGGGACTCGCCCACGTAAAGTCGGAGCTGCAGAAGAGACACACGTGCACAGACCTGGGTGAGCTGACAAGCTATCTTGGCTTGCGGATCACCCGGGATAGAGCACAGCGCACCATTACCTTGACTCAGTCACACATGGTGCAGCAGGTCCTTCAGCGCTTCCGCTTCACGTACTCCTTGCCACAGCCCACTCCTCTGCCTACGCGCCACTCGCTCTCAGCTCTGCCTTCGGATGAGTCCGTAGAGCCGAGTGGCCCGTGTCCAGAGCTTGTGGGCTGCCTCATGTACCTGATGACCTGCACTCGACCCGACCTTGCATACCCTCTTAGCATCCTAGCACGCTATGTCGCTCCTGGCCGACACAGGAAGGAGCACATGGATGCTGCTAAGAGGGTGTTGCGCTACTTGTGCAGTACGTCGGGCATGGGGCTCGTGCTTGGAGGGCGAGGTCCAGTGGTCCTCACTGGTCACGCTGACGCTTCTTGGGCTGACGACTTGGCTACTCAGCGGTCGTCACAGGGTTACACCTTCAGCCTTGGTTCCGGCTCTGTTTCGTGGTGGTCTACCCGCTCGTCTTCTGTTCTCGGCTCCAGTTGTGAGGCTGAGATCTACGCAGGGGCCATGGCTGCACAGGAGTTACGCTGGCTCACCTACCTGCTGACCGACCTGGGAGAGCCGCCAGTTCTATACGTAGGCAACAAGGCCATGCTGGCCTTGTGTGAGGAGCACAGACTGGAGCACAAAACGAAGCACATTGCTCTTCGCTACTTCCTTGCACGTGAGCTGCAGCAGCGTGGTCAGCTGCGCCTTGCTTACGTGGCCTCTCAGGCCAACACTGCTGATATCTTTACCAAGGCACTTCAGCCTTGTGATCAACAGCGTTTCTGTACTATGTTAGGTCTTGTGCCTACCTGGCCTCACTTACTTACCTCTTGACTTTGCTTTGTACTGTGATCTATATATACCTGCACTTGCCTGTTTTCCTTTGCTAGGTTGCGATCACTGTCTTGCTTGTTCACCTTGATTTATAATCCTACATGTGAATTGGCCTTGTGGCCTTTGAACTTGTGCTCGGAATGTGTGGTGACGTTGTGATCCACCCTGAGCTTGTCTTGCTTGACTGGTCTTGTGACCCCTTGTTCTCCCCCACTTTGCCTATGGGGGTGTGTCAAACATTCGTGCTATAGTCTTGCTAGGCTGTAGTGGGGTAGACACTATGGGGTACAGTTTCCTAGGGTTTCATATTTGTACCCAACTCATTTCAAGTCATTCTCGTAATTCTTTCACAGGCGACGCCCGTTGCAGATCACCTCGAGTAGTAGTGGTTGTTGCTGCTTCGAGTAACTGTAGATGGTCTCGCTTACAGGATCGTAGGGTACGTCGAATAGATCATCCCTCGGTCCTGCGCTCGAAGCTGCTGACTCCATATCGGTTTTCAACTGAGTAGGGGTAGAAGGATTTATCCGAGGCTGATTCAGCTTCGTCTTGGCCTGAATCCTTTCCCTAAGCCTTTGCAGCTGTGTAGGCTTCTCCTGTGGGCAATGGGGAGCCTTAACACTATGCTGCGGGGAGAGAATATTAACTCCTTGGAACGCACGACCCTTTTCAACGCTCCGGAGTGGTTTGCCCAACTTCTCAGGTACCTGAATAATGTCTGAAGGCTTTTTCTTGGCCTCGAAATCTCCCCTGAATTTGTTAAAGGCTTGAAAACCTCGAGAGGAAATATTCTTACTCTCGGGGGTGTTCGGCTGGAGTTTCCCGGTCGGTGCAGAGTCTTGTTTCGCGGAGCCTCCATTTGTCTCGGCGATTTCCCCTGTTGCCGACCGGTCGTGACGTTTTAAATTCGCGCCATCGTGTCCTCCTTTTTTGGCCATCGTGGATGCCGCACTGTTGTTGCCCTGCAGCTCCGCTCGTGCCTTCTTTATTTTCCAACACGCCAAGAGTCGATGTCCTGCTGCGCCGCAAAATTCGCACTTCTCATATTTTGTCGGCCGCTGCTTCGCGTCGATCTTGTCGATATCCATCGGGTCGGCGGTCGTGGGTGGTGGCGATCGCTTCGTGCCAAATGATCGGTTCGGCACGTGGCGTCGTGTCTCGGGTTCACATCGCATCAGCGCATCGAATCTCTCTGCTGCACACACCATGTCGTGGTAGTTGTTGTAGTTCGCGGCAATCACCTGTCGACGGACTTCCATTTTTAGCCCCTCAGTATACGCTTGGATTTTTTCCCCTTCGGTCAGGTCGGTAATTCGGTTGAAGAGGCTCTCCATCTGCTGCGTGTACTGTGTTACACTGCCGAACTGTTTATGCCGATGAATCTGCTGCCGCGCCATGTAGCTGGAGTTGATCGGTTCGAAACGTTGAATTATAGCTTCCCGAAACTGCGTCCATGACCCATCGCCTCGGACCTCGTTGCTATTGTTAATCCACTCGAGCGCCGGGCCTCGTAACAGTGTCGCTGCGAGCCAAATCCGCATTGCATCGTGTGTCGGGGTCGTACAGCCAACGGCCTCGAAGTAAATTTCGATAGTCGCAATGAATCGACGAACGTCAGTGTCTCTCGCATTCGGATTGAACGTCTCCGGTAGCCTCGGACGTGCCGCCTCAAGATTCACTGCAGCCGCTGCCGCTGCTGCTGGGTGAAGTGTCGGTGCCGCCGCTGCTGCTGCTGCCGTCGCTGCTGCATTCCCTGCTGCGTTCGCTGCTGCCGTGGCGGCTGCCGACTGGTTCGCGAGAAGCTCCTCTATTTGCTGGAGTGCCTCTCGCGTCTGGTCCAAGCCGGTGTGTAACTCCGTAATTTTTCGTACGGAATTATCACCGTTTTCCTCCATTTGGCGATTTACAGGAAGATTTGCGACGAAAATAATTGAATTCTAGGCGCTGGTCATCTTACTGTGAGTCGAATCGACTGTAGAAATAACGAGCGCTGATTCTGTAGGTCGCGTAGTTCTCCCTTTAGTCGAAATTCGCGTCCGAACTCGGCCGTTGAGAAGAAATTCGATCCGACGCTCCAAATTCCAAATGTTTTGGGCGAAATTCTCAGGACCGTTGAGATTCAAATCGATCCGACGATCGAAATTCCAACTTTTTTGCCACTGGACCTGAGGAGTATTCGAAAACCGGGTCGAGGGGGACGTTAGAAAATAGCGCGGAACTGGTTTACGTACCCGAAATTGGCGCTTTCCGTCGTCGCCCCCGCGGTTTGAAAAGCTAGGTTTTAGCGGTCGAAAAGCTTCGCGTCCAAAACGGCTCTGATTACCAAGTGTGAGGATCTAGGATCGAGCTCAGAAAAGAGAATTGTAATTGATTGATTCACCTGGGTACAACACGAGGCTATATATAGTCTCGACACAAGGCCAGTTACCCAGGTGTTACGCGAATGTTCTGAGGGTCGCGAAGCGTCCCGAACAGAACCTTCCCGAACTCAGTAGAAAGCAATTCGGTGGAAACCGAATAGGCTTGAGTTCGGTACACGTAACCTGGTTCGGTGCTATAACTATAAAAAAATATAGGAATGCACCTAACCTAGGAAATCAAGCATATCTATGCATGATAAAAAAAACCCAAGCTAGATATAGCGTAATAAAGTCTAGGCAAGCTAGCAAAGCCAACATAAGCCGTCGTACTCTCACATCCTTAAAGAATCCCCCCCCTCGTGATAACGGCCCCCTCCTCTCCTCCTCCCGTCCGCCATTGCTCCCTCCCTTCATCTTCCCCTCTTCCCTTCCTCCCATCGCCTTTCCCCCATCCACGCCCCCCCCACGCCTTGCCCCACCAGCAATGGAGGGGCGTGGTGGAGCTGATGAGTGCAGATCGCTTCACAGTGCTGCTCTTTGTATTCCCTTCCTCCCCTGCTCCTTCCCCAATCCTATCCCCTCATCTCTCCCCTCTCCTCCCCCAGCAATGGAGGGGCGTGGTGGAGCTGATGAGCGCGGATTGCTTCACAGTGCTGCTATTTGATTTCTTTGGTGCTCATGGGTGCGTGCAGGGAAGGGATGGGAGGGTCAGTGGGAGGGTGGGAGGGTGATGGGAAGATGGGTGGGTGATGGGAGTGTGGGAGGTAGGGGAGGGTGTGAGGGTGGGAGGGAGGGGAGAGTGTGAGGGTGCGAGGGGGGAGAGGGTGTGTGTGACCTGTGTGACCCCATGCAGTGTGCATCCCACCAACATCCACCCCTTCCTAATCTCCTCTTCCCCCCCTTCCCCTGTCCCCCTTGTCCTGCCATATTGCTCTTCCCCGCGCCCCGGCCCGCCCTTTCCCCACCCCAGCACCCAGTACGATCTGCTTGACCCCATACGCTACGCATCCCACCCACCCACCTACGCTCACTCCTTTTCTCCGCTCCCTCCTTTTCTCCTCTCCCTTCCTCCCCCCCCCCCCCCCCCCCCCCCTCCCCAGCACCCAGTACGACCTGTTTGACCCCGTGTGCTATGCGTCCCTCAAGGGCTTTGCTGATGACGTGGCGCTGCTGCTGGACGAGCTGGGGATCCAGGTGAGGGGGGGGATGGTGGGGAGGGGAAGAGGGGGAGGGAGACAAAGGAGTCGCGGGTTGTTGGGGTGGAGGCGAGTGATGACTTGCCGCTGCTACTGGACGAGCCGGGGATCCAGGTGATGGGGGTAGTGGGTGGGGGGGGGGGGAGAAGAGAAGAGAAGGGGGACGGCATGAAAGGAGATGACGGGGGTTGGGTGGGCGGCGGGTGATGGTGTATCGCTGCTGCTGTATGAGCTGGGATTCACTTTTGAGAATTCTCAAGGTGATGGTGTGATGAGGGGGGATGGAGCGGCACAAGGGAAGGGGGACGGTTTTTCAGTCGACTCAATCACATGCGTATTCTATGTGGAATGAAATGCGGGGTTGGAAAGGGAGAAGGGAAGGGGGGCGGAAGGAAAGGAGATGTGGGTGATTGTGGTGGGGGCGGGTGATGGTGTGCCTCTGCTGCTGATGAGATGGGATTCAAGGTGATTGTGGGGAAATTGACATCGCGAAGGGGGATGTTTGGGGTGCATCAGAAATTGACTACCCCACCAGCATAGCGGTGGAAAGGGGGAAGGGGGATGCTTGGGCCAGCATATCGAGGCTACTGCTCATCACTCACCCCCTCCCTCACTCACTCACGTCCCTCACTCCCTCCCTCCCTCCCTCACTCACTCACTCACTCACTCCCTCTTTCCCTCCCTCGCCCACCAGGCGTCATCCTCATGGCAGGAGATGACCTTCATCGGGCACCAACAGGCGGGCATCATGGGGCTGCTGCTCGCCCTCACTCCCTCCCTCCCTCACTCCCCTCCTATCTCTCCCTCGTCCCCTCGTTCTGCACGCATCCCCACCAGGCGTCACTCACACGACAGGAGATCTAGTTTATAGGCCACCAGCCGGCGGGCATCGTGTGGTGTGCTTGTGGCTCCCTCCCATCCCCCACCAAGCGTCACCCTCATGGCAGGAGATCACGTTTATAGGGCACCAGCAGGCGGGCATCGTGGGGTTACTGCTCGCCCTGCAAAGGCCGGACCTGTTTCACCGAGTCATCACGCTCGCCTCCTCGCCCAGGTAGGGGACCCACGTGGGGGTGCTTGGTTTGACGGCCCAAGCTCGTGTCCCCACTGCTGCTGCTGATGCTACTGCTGCTCGCCCTTCAGAGACTAGACCTCTTTCACCGAGTCATCACCCTTGCTTCCTCGCCCAGGTACGGGCATATCACCACCACATATTACAGCACAGCACAGCACATCACATCACATCACATCACATCACATCACATCACATCACATCACATCACATCGCATCACATCACATCACAACACATCACAACACAGCACAACACAACACAACACATCACAACACGGCACAACACAACACATCACATCACATCACATCACATCACATCACATCACAACACATCACATCACAACACATCACATTTCATTACAACACATCACATCACATCACAACACAACACAACACATCACATCACAACACAACACATCACATCACATCACATCACATCACATCACATCACATCACAATACATCACATCACATCAGTGTTATTGGCACTCGCAGAATAGACTAGAACACCTCACGTCACTCACTCGGATCACTCACTCACATACCCCACACGCCTCTTCACCCCACCCCCTCTTCTCCTCCAGGCTCCCAAGGTTGTTCTCACTCTGCTCTTTCCCTTCCCCTCCCCTCACCTCCCCTCCCCTCCCCTCCTTCCCCTCCCCTCCTTCCCCTCCCCTCCTTCCCCTCTCCTCCTTCCCATCCCCTCCTTCCCCTCCCCCCATTCTCACTCTTCTCCAATATAGAGTGCCTCTTCTCTTCTCCTCTCCTCACCCGTTATGCCCCCCTCCTTCTCTTCGCCTCACCTCTCGAATCCCCCCTCCCACCCCCCGTCTCCTGCCTGCGTACACTCCTTTGCAAGCCGTTTTCCAACCTCTCTCCCCCCCCCACCCCCTCCCCCCTCACCCTATCCCTCCCCATCTCGAATTTTCCTTCCTGCCTTTCCCTTCCTCTCGCCGCCTGAGCAGATTGCTCTCGGACGTGGGGTATGCGGGCGGGTTTGAGCTGCAGGATCTCGACCAGGTGTTTGGAGTCATGCAGTCCAATCACACAGTGGGGTGGAGGGATAGGGAGGCCAGGATGTGCATGGGGGTGGGAGAAGGAGGCTGGAAGAGGCGGGAATGTCTGTTTGTTTGAGCTGCAGGATCTCAACCAGATGTCTAACTACACGGTGACGTCGGAGTTGGGGCAATAGGGGTGGCATGAAGTGCTGCTGGGATGGGAGACGGGAGGCAGAAGGAGGGTGTGGGGGCCCACGAAGTGCCTGTTTTCTTGAGCTGCAGGATTTGGACCGGGTGTTTGGGGTCAAGTATACGGTGAGATGGAAGTTACTGGAGGGGAGAGGAGGGAGGGGGGTGGATGTGACATGGGGTGGGAGAGGGGAGGTGTCTGATTCTTCTTTTAGGTAGTGGAATTTGCATCACGTGTTTGGCATCATGAGTACAAACTACAAGGTGAGTTGGGAGCTATTCAGGTAGGGGAAGTGGGGGGGGGGGATGAAGGGGAGAGGGGGAGGGAAAGAGGGTGTATGCGAGTGCAGAAAGGGTGTTTTGAGACATCTCAAAAACACCCTTTTTCACGTGGCTCTAGGGTGCATGCCAGTGCTCACAGCAGACAACATTCGTCTGCCCCATGTGCGCAACTTCACTCACGCTCCTTAGTACCCTTCGCTTCACACCGTACCTCCTACCTTCCCTACAGATGTGGGCAGCGGGTGCGTGCCAGTGCTGACACCAGACGACATTTGCCTGCCCCACCCTATTGCTCACTACAAGTCTCAACTCCGTCTCCCCCTCAGCCTCCCTCCATTCTCCCTTCCCCCCTCTCTCTCAGATGTGGCCAGCGGGGTGCGTGCTGGTGCTGACACATGACGACATTCGCCTGCCCCACGTGCGCGACTTCACTCGCCCACTCTTCTCCCTCCGCCCCATCGTCGCGTTTGCGCTGCTCAAAACCACCTTCGCCTGTGACGTGAGCGCAGTGCTGCTAGAGGTGAGAGGGATGGATGCAGAGGGGTGCAGAGGGGTGTAGAGGGGTGAGGAGGGGTGAGGAGGGGTGAGGAGGGGTGTGCATGGTGCAGACCCCCCTGGTATGAAGTTGTTTCGGGAAATTTTCCCTCTGTGCAGATGCAGCCTCTGTGTTGTGTGGAACTACCTTTGCCTGTGACGTGCAAACAATGCTCTCAGAGGTGAGAGGGACGGAGAGGGACGGAGAAGGATGGAGATGGGTGCAGAGGTGTGTGCACGGTTCAGGTGCCACAGTTGCGGTGGAATGATGTGTGTTGGGTGCTCTCAGAGGTGAGTGGGTTGGAGAAAGGACGGGACAGGGCGAGGCGGTATGAAAGGGGGTTGTATGCAAATGCGGAAAGTCCTTTTGAGGATTTTCATGCGTGAAGGAAGTCCATTTCTGCAAGTGTGTGCTCGTATGGTTGAGAGGGGTGGGGATGGATGCGTATGTGTAGAACTCTTTCTCATCATTTTCATGACGACGTATTGTAATCATTCACCCAGCTGACCACATCCCTTTGTTGTTCCCTTTCATCTTATCCACGCCCTTTCCCCTAGGTTCTTGTACAGACGCACATGCTGCTGATCGCACTCGACCCCACGGTACTGCACTCCACCACGCAGCACATGCTTGCAGCCATTCCCAATTTGTACGCAGAGATCCTAGCTGTCACCTCGCTGCACGTGCTTCTAGATGTCGTCGCGACGAGCATCCTGCGCCACATGAGCATGCTGCTACGGGACGCGCAGAGCCAATCATGTCGCCAGACTGTCAGCAGGCGATTTGCCATCCCGTCGTCTGTGTTGGAAACATATAGTTCGCGCTTCTGATGTGTCGAGCACTACAACATAAGCGAAGCGAACTACAGCGAAGTAACAGCGAGTCAACCAAAGCGGTTGTTCAGAAAGACAACAGCAAGAAGTCAAGTGAAGGTCAAAGGTCAGCGACCTTTGACTCGCCGAAAAGCAGCGCGACAGGAAGGACACATAACTGACTCGCTATTGAGCAGTTACCCGAGTCGTTGCTGCATCGAACCGCAACAGCAGTTATAGTTAGTTAAACCTTTCATATTCCTTTGTAATCATGTAAAGCTTTGTATCTCTTTGCTATTATTAACTTTTCTTGTTCTCACATACAAGTGCAAGGTGGTTCAATTAGTTCACTAAGACCCTTCCGCTAATACATCACTACTCTGAGACTTTAGTCTTGAAAAGTTCCTAAGGGCTTTCTCAGCCCAACATGGTATGAGAGCTAGCAAGACAAAGACAACTTTGTTCAAACTCCTACAACAACACAAGGCATGGCTACGCAGAAAGAAAGAAGCTCGTCTAATGGATCTCCCTGCAACACCCCTACTCCGCCTCCAGCCTCTAGACTACAGACAGAAAGAGGCACAACCCAAGGACCAGTTGCTGAGTCCACGTAAACTCCCACTAATCAAGCAACCGGCTTCGACCCAAGCATGATGGAGAAGTTCTTCTCCTTCGTGTCGTTCTACGAACAACATCAACAAGCGGCACCTGCGCAGTCAAACAACAGCGACAGCAACAACGGAGTCACTCCCATGAGCCTTGACGGTTCATCCTTTGCGCGTGGAAATCAGCAGCCTACCTTTGCACCGTACAAGCCTCAACGCAGCTCTGTCAGCTTCATGCCGAATCGGCTCCCACCTGGACAAGAAACAAAGACGCTGGATGCACTTCAACTGCAATCACAGTTTGCACACGTTCTGAAACTCTAGACGACAACACCATTCGACGACAAGGATTTCTATACCTGGTCTTTTGAGTTCGAGCTGATGGTGGAAGGTGCTGAAATCCTTGGCTTCTTCGACGATTCCCTGCCATATCCAACGCACGGGACGCAGTACGACAAGCAGCAATACACGTATCAATCACTGATGGCATACACCATACTCATGCGAAACATAACGCCAAACGAGCAGCAGAACATCCGGTCTTATCGCGGATACGGTAACTCCGCCGAGCTCGCGTACAACCACCTGAAGAACATGTATCAAGCAACCGACAGCGTTAATCAAAATCGTCTCATGGTGCAATTGACACTGATTCAAATGCAACCCGGCGAAAAAGGAATGGCGTATATCAGTCGCTGTCGCGGTCTGCGCGATAGACTCTTTCGATGCGGCGGATCCGAAGAAGCGTTCGCCACTATCGTTATCACAGGTCTCGGTCCTCAGTGGCGCTCCACTCGAGCCATTCTCTGAGCCCACGGAAGAATCTCCAAAGCAAATCTCTACGCTGAAATTCACGCTGAGCAGCAAGACATGGACATGCACGAAGAACGTCACAAGAAAATGGCATCAGCACCAGAGTTCGCCTTTCACACTCAACGGCGCTACAACAACAACAACCGACAAAACGAGCATCACGGACAAAGACACGTACCACCATTTTGTCACCTCTGCCGAACGTCTGGCCACTCCCGTATTTACTGCCCGGATCAGCAGCAATCAACACCACCACCATGTCAGCTTCGACCTTCAAGTAGTCAAGTGACTTCCACACAGCAGCATCCATCCAACCAGGCGCCGACTTCAACGACAACGTCACAACCTGCACTAGGAACAAGAAATATCATAAGTTGCATGACAATAACGGACTCCTGCATCACCGGTTCACCACCGACCTACTCACCCGAAGAACGGCTCGACAAAAGCACGCCCGGTTGTGAATTTGGAACCAAACCCGACGTACGCCGCTATCGCACAGAGCGAACCATCCGGTCAAGATACTTGATTATTGGACAGCTGCCGCGGACAACATATGTGATCCGACCGCTTCGTTCAACGGGAACAACGCCTCAACCAGGATGTCGTGATCACCGTCGCCTACAACTAGAACCTGCGCACACAACGACAAGGAGTAGTTCAACTTCAGTCTCGCGAGACAAACGTTGCTTTACAAATGTCGAAGGTTTTGATTGCAGAAGGACTGGGCTACAACTTACTCAGCGTCAGCCAGCTCATGGCACAAGGAATTCATCTTGAAGCCGACAGCACCACTTAGGAGTTCAAGCTGTACAACAAAAAGGGTGGACTTTACATCGGAAAAGCAGTCCTGAAGAACAATGTCTTCGTTCTTGATTTCGTTCCAGATCAGGGAACAGCTGACAACGACGCGATTGTCAACTTCACTACCTGGTCGCACCCACCAGATCTCGACCCGGACTTCAGCCCCCGAGGTTTCAGGTACTCGCACACCAAACCTGAGGCAGAACAAACAAGAGCGTTAGCAGCGATTCAAGAAACAACAGCAGAAGAGACAACAGTAGTAGCATCAACAGCAGCAGAGACAACCGCAGCAGCAAAGACATCGACAAAAGCAGAAACAACAACAACAGCACCAGCACCAATCGCCAGCTCTTCATCAACACCAACTCCTGTCACCGACACCACACCGATTGCCGCCCAACAGCTGACTCCCGCTCCACGCAACGTCCACAGAAGCGCCAACATCACTGCAAGTTTCTACTCCAACTCCAATATGTACAGACGTTCACCTGGACATCGCGCCGACGAATGACTATGGCATCAAAGGTTAGGGCATCCCACCAACACGACACTGAACAACACGATAAGAGCAGGAGTGCTTGGTAAAGACCCACTACTCTTACCCGACGGCAGAGAACTTCGACGAGTCCGCGGATCCTGTTTTACATGCCCTTAAGCCAACTTACCCCATCATCCGTTTGTCTCTCACCACAACCCAAGCGCGCCAGCATACGCACCACTGGAGAAAGTCTACAGAGACATACTATACACCCGCGAAAGCGGACGGGGAGCATATAACTACGTAATCACGTTAATCGACGCCTCCACCAGATACGTCTGGCACCTCAATCTTCCAAGTCGCGACATGGCCTTCGAAGCTTTTGTCGCTTGGCTCCCAGTAGCAGAAAGGGAATCAGGAGTGAAGCTGAAAAGTTTTTGGTCAGACGGGGGAGGAGAATATCAGTCACAGCGGTTCAAGCAATACCTAGCGGAGAGTGGCATCAAGCGACTCATCTCTCTTCCCTACGCTCATCAACAGCAAGGCGTAGCAGAAAGGATGAATAGGGCCCTCCAGAACACCATGTGCAAGCTGCTACGTGGCACCCAACCATCAGTGGCCTGAGGCGATGGACCACACTGTGCTGTTGCACAACTTGCTTTTGTCATCCTTGCTTCCGAACAACGCATCACCGCATCTGCTGTGGACAGGAAAATTGTGCAACACAAAAATGTTATGAGTTTTTTGCTGCATGATACAGTATCGACCACACACTGCACGAGCCGGACAATTCTCACAACGCGCACAGTTGGGACTACACCTGGGCATCGAAAAACACTATAACGCGTGGAAATTTTCGACGTCCACTCGAAGGAAACAGTAGCAGCACGTGACGTGATTTTCTACGAGCGACTCACTCTCCAAACGTACCTGGACAACTTGGCAGCAGAACGAGACCTCACGTGTTGCTTCCGTGGCAATCGAGCCTTCGCCACACCAGTAGATGAGGCTGACTGGGATGAGCAAAACGTTGACGGAGCATCTGAGGAAGCCGGACCTCTTCCCTACTGTTCGGTACTCGTTCTGATGAACGACGAAAACCCCCGCGAAAGCATCAACGCCGAAGTCTACCATGACCTCGCTGACAATGGTTACGTTACACCCCAGCCGGTCAACACAAATGTTTCAGAACGCATAGGCCCCAACTTCTTACCTGATTCAGAAGCGGGAGACAAAGCGGTTTATCCCGAGGACCCAAATCACCCTCGCTATACACAGAGTGGGCTGCAGATTCTTGAGCGGTCCATGGCGCACCAATGCCGCAAGAGCCTGCTACGGTTTAGCAGGCTCTGGGGGGGGGAACACAGGGAAAAATGGTGCGAAGCCATGGACAGAGAGTTAACAGCGCTGGAAGACAGAAACACCTGGAAGATAGTGCCCATCGGAGTGGCACGCAACAAAACCTTACTCACGGGAAAATGGGTCTTCCACGTGAGGACGAAAGCCGATGGA